GAGATAAGGTTGCATCTTTTTGTGTATGGCTACCCGAATGTTTCACCTCGAAGTGACGCCCGCATTGACTACCGATTCCTTCACTTTGTCGTTAATGAGGTTTGTTTGTAAAAAAGGAAAACGTCTGGATAACGGATCTAACTTCGTTGGCGCCGTGATGGAACTCAGGGAGCACCAAGCGAAACTTAATAACTAACTATTGGCTCGAGGTATTCAGTGGAATTTAAGCCCCCCTTTGCTAGTCATCGAGGAGTGTGGAAGCGAACGTTACGGTTATCGTGGCAAATCATTTTTGCGCTCATGCAAGAACAAACCTCATCTGATGATTTTCTGTCAACTCTTTCATCAAGGTGGAATGTATTCAAAACAATCCGTCTTTAAAATATTTATGTTTAGGTTGCCATGACGCTTTTGCTTTGACTCGGAATCACCTCTTGCTAAACGAAGCAAATGCAGGCGTTTCATCACACTGTGATTTAAAAAGGCGGCTCACGTGACGTTGGAAACAGGTGAATTATTCGTCGGATGTTATTTGGAGCAGGTGGATGAATAAATACACTCCAACGCTTTAGCTTCGCCAGAAGTGGTTAAGTCAGAATGGAAACCTCAGAAAGGTTGATGTTGTAGTAGTGTCTGAACATCTTTATGGGCGAAGATGGCTATCGGATGTTCTCACAGTGTCAAACGGATTTAGGCGGCCTTGTCAGAACGGTTTCCCTTCGTACAAGCTTCGATGTCATCAAGCGCGATGTTAGGAGCCTATGTTTGTCGAAAAAGGAGGACTAACCTCAATGAGAGGTTTGCATTTCAGGGATGCTTTCCGTATATCACGATAGATTTATGTTAGAACAACCGGTTTCAAGCTCAGCGTAATGTCGTGGATAGGGGCGTGTACTTTTGAAACTGGCTTTTCTGGCTGGTGTGGACTCGGACCATTCAGGTTGGTGGTCAACGTTGCATGCTTGTTGACTAGAGCTCCCCTGATAACTTAAATGTTCGCTTACTGACCGTCGGGTGAATTTTTCCCGGCGGATTTTCAACTACATATATCTCCAAGATTTCCTCCCATCTTGAATGACTGCCTTACCGGTTAACAAATGGACCGCCCTTTTGGACTGTTGTAATTGAACTCCATTTCAGTTTGGCAAGACATTTATTTTTCCCGTTTGCCTTCCAGCGAAAATCGGGTTTGCTGCTTCTGTTATGCTATTTTTGTACCAAGACCTTGGTCAGTTACAAATTCGTTTAACTGCATGAGTTCGCGACCCGGATTCAATCACGCGTTGACCGCTAATCCATATCAAATTTGCTTGTTTTTTGGAGTGCCTCATCGTTTTTCGAAAGCCGTCGAGGTTTGTATTTTTGTATCGTATAATCATGCCAGACGCTATGCCACCCACAAGTTGGGAATAAACATTATTATTATTATTATTTGTGTGACTAATTTTATTTTTATAGTACGGCACATTTGCGTGGCAATTCGTTCGGAATTTTGCCGGTTTGATTGCTACCTTTGTTTCTTGTTGCTCAGTAAATCGAAACGCTCGTTACAGTTGTCGTCCCTCGTGGTGAGCAAGCATTCAGATGAACGTGCAACTATTTACCGATTTCAAGAACGCTTTAGAAAAAAAGGTGAATGCATCGCTGTACAGCTTTTCGATTGTGACACTTTCTCTAACTGACCGACTTCTGCATTTTCTTGTGATAACTCATCATACGTATGTTTGGTCAAATGTAACAGATAATCACCAAACCCTGACCTTATAAGCAAGTTGGGTAAGCGATCTGTGAATTTAGGGCTTATGCTAAACCACCTGCTCCTCATGACCGATCTAATCTATCGAGTGGATGGGCAGCCCCATATGGAGAAAGAGGGTTAGGCCAAACAAAATTTCACTGAAACTAATTACGGTCAGTTATCAGTTTTCCAAGGCTTATTTGCCGCGACACGTTCGGTAGGTTTTTCACATATAAGTGATCGCCTTGGTAAGTACATATATCATTTTCGCCACAGGATTATGCAGTTGTGTGATAGAAGTATAGGTCAATAAGTTGATAGACTCAGCAATCGCAAATATGAATAAATTAAATATTTCAAATCGCTTAGGTGATCTTTTACTCTGTGCTCCGAAATGGGTGGCACGGCTACTGCGTCTATCTTGGCCCACTGACTGTGTATCAACTGCATCACAACTACGTGGCTTGATAACACTAATTTTGCTACGTCCGGAAATGGTTTCTAAACGGAGGTACAACATATCAACAACAAGCAATAAGAGGTCCTAGTTTCATACTTTTTACCGAGTTATGGATAAATATTGTGCAACAGTGAGTTTCAGAAGAAAGCAATCTGTGATATCCCTAGTAGGTAGGAGGCCGTGAAAGCAGTCATTTGGGTTGAAAAGACATTTGCTTCGGAAGGAAGCAAATTCGTTCAGAATCTCAAAAAGGCTAGTGAGTTTATCTTTGAGGCCGATGTTAAAGTGGCGCAATAAACTTCTGAATTGTTTTATGCTCTTTTTGCTTTCAGCCTCGATTTATAGGTTTATAAAGCTGTCAGTTCCAAAGATGTCGAATTAAATGAATTGAAAATACAGAATTTTTAAATGAAAGTGGTTGTTTTTTGGGAAGTCTGATGAGACTTTTGTCATTGCTAAGCCAAAATGTGTTTAAAGTCAAAATCTGAATTAAATTAATGGTCACTTAATGAAAACCGCTGAGAAATTAGGTTGTGAGATTTCCTCCTTTGATCCGTTGTTTAGTTTCCACAAGTGGAGCTGACTCTATCTAGGCATTTGTCCTGTTGCCCACATTAAGAGAAAATATCCATTGGGACGGACTCAACCATTCACTTCAGTCACTGAAGAAAAGCGCTATCACGTGTAAAATGTAACATTCTCTTTAAATGGCAGATTTGGCCTTTGTTATTCTGGTTGGACTGAGAGTTTGCGTCCCAAAACAGAGGTAAACTCTTCATAAAGAAAACTACTCACAAGGTTGCTGAAAATTCTTCGATAACGCACGACCAGTTTCATCCCTCTTGCGGCTCATCAGGTAGGCGCAGTCTCCGAGTTTCCGTCAACCTTATGTTCTACATGAACCCCAATTGGACGGGATGTGAGTTAGGCTCTTGTTAGATATACGAAAAATTACAAGGTGGGTTCATGGGGCTAAAAAGCTTCAGTTTTCCATCATCAACTGCGGCATGTTTCAAAGGTCATTTGTCCCGGTTTTAAACATTATCAGACGAACCCAACTAATGTGGTGTCAGGTGAGACTGGTGACTGGTGCAAATTGATTCGTGTGGGTTGAGCGTATGTGTTTCCGTAGTACGTGTCCTCGTTGGTCAACGGATGGCACCTGTACTTGATACCGAATTGCGAGGTCATGAGCTTCACATGATGATGACTAGTAACCGGAGGGGTGACGAGAAACCGTCTGACCCGCTCACGTGGAAAGGCGAGTTCGGGACATCAGTGTGATACCCATTCCAATATTTTATTCTCAGGAGTGTCATAACTGATCTGATAGCCCCTAGATATTGCAATAATTGCAACCGCTGAGTCCTTCGCCGATGCTCTGAAGACATTTGGTATTCTCGCAACATCGTGAGGATGGCGTCTGCATCCAGCATTACCAACCTTTAGTCGTTTACGTGTGTAGGATGTCCGAAATAAGAGTGCGATGGGTATAGTCGGCCTCGTGAACAAGGTTGTTTCAGTCACGCGACTTGATTGGGTCCTTAATTGAAATTGGTTGTGTTCTTAATTCGTCACCTACTTGAAAATTTCTCCAAATGTTAGGAATGAATAAGACGCGACGGATACTTTTTTGTGTCGCTTGTGTGAAGTCTGTAACGTATCTAAAGAAAGCGCTGTTCAGTTCTCAGTGTCTCCAATATGAACCAACGGTGTACAACACCCAAACTCACCCACTTCTCTCGAACTCGTTTCCAAAATAATATAGTTAAAGTTAGACTCTGTTGAAAAGGGGCTAAGAACTTTCCTGCCTGCCGCTAACCACCCCTCAAAGTCTTCCGACCAACATTAAAACATTTTGAATTCCACATAACCTTACCCGCCTACCCTCCCACAACTGGAAGGGAGGGTACTCGCAGCACTCACAAGCCCACGAAGACCAAAGAAAATTTACCAGCGGTGAATCATCAATTGGGGCACCCTGAAGTGGAAGATTAAGGAACCAAAACCGATCGGAACTAATTTGAATCTCCCCCAACCCATCAGTGCAAGATTTTGACGACCACACTGACCGACAACAGCCGCTAATTGACACTCAACACTGATCTAGTGTGATAATCTGAAGAGGTCTTACCGATTATTTCTCTGTCTACCTGAAAACCTGGTCAATTCAGTGACCTGCTCACTTGGCCTGATGAAGCTTTTGTGTCCGTTAAAAACTACGGAGTGTTTACCAAAACTTGAAAAGATGACTTCTCAGTCGGTTACAAAACTCTTCCAATTGAGTGAAAACAGTGAAACTTGTTCCTCTGAAGCCACATCTGGTCAATGAAGGAAGAATGAGTCCTAGTTATGTGTCAGGGCTGTGTAAGGAATGCAGTTGAGGGTTATCTACTACGTGCTTCTCACTGCGCCTTGTGGGAGACGCTACAAGATACGGCTGCCAACCGATGTTAGTAGCGTTTTTGTTATCAGTTTCTATCCAGATTGCTTGAGTGGATGTCTGGAGGTGTAGGCACTTCGGAATGATTGTAGTAAGCTAGCACTAAGTTTCTTCCTCGTTTACCTTCATTTTTTCCTTTACAAAAAGGCCTTTAAATGAACCATGGTTGTGCAGCAGTGAAGCATTGGTCTTGAACACTGATGTCATGCTGCCGATGATGATGATATCCACCCAACTCAAGTGAACAAACAAATTATGTGACAGCCACGACATGACGAAGACGCCGAAAGAGGCGAAGTTCCATGCAACATAATCTAAGAAGAGCTTGCTCAGTAAAATCATCCTGTATATTCTTGTTATTCAATATGGTCAGTACATAGACATATTAATACTGACTCATTGCAGTTTGTGAGCCTCAGTTGGCGCGGCTCGAAGTGAAGTGATCTGTGGCGAGCTAAATTCGCTTAGTTCACAAATACTATTGAAAATAGTGAAATTTGCATGGAATCGTTCTATGAAATTCTGGAAGAGATAGAATAGTGAGTGGTTTTTTGGCAGCGGTTTTGTGATAATCAATTCTTTATTTTCCTTTCTTGCCTTTTCCTTTCTTCTTAGGTCCCGGTGCGAGCTTATGAATGATATCAAATGTATCCTGATTAATCCGATGTCCCATTCTGATTCCGATTTGTGGCAGTTTGGCTTCTTTGCGCGTCAGAATCCCTTCGAGTATTTGTCGGGCTCCCAAATCTCCAATCGCGTTTCCAAACAGATCGATCTCTTGAAGATCTCTGCTGTGTGATATAATGCTGAATGTGTACAGGAAAATGGAGCACAGACCTCGTAAATTAACCGAGATTTTCAAATGCGGAGTAGTTCAGTTGTTGCGCTATCAAACAATCTACTATCACTACCTAAGCAGTTCGTGGAGCTGCAGTTTCACTGAATTGCCCTTATGGTTCAGCATGGGATAGTTCACTGGTTAGGACACCGACTTACGTTCCGGATGGTTTGTGATTTAAACTCAACCTCATCATCTCCACTGCTCCCGTCTAGACATCGGCAACTTGGTAGTATCTCAGTCCTCAAGGTTCCTCCGGGTAATATGGCAGCTAAGCACCAAGAGGGTGTTACGACTGAACGATCGCTGCTAATTTTTACTTAATAATTATGCACACAACTGCACTCAAGTGACTTGGAAGTAGCCTTGCTCATGATACGTTACTTTGAACGGACAAAGGGGTGCAAGACTTGTATAAATAACTGCTAGTTAAACAACGGGGACCTGCATTAAGTACTCCCGAATTCGTATGAAATTATGTCTTCAGAAAGCAAGAAGACCTAAACGGGTCATGTTTTTGTTAGAGAAATTGCTGTTTTGAAAATAAGAATTTTAATCCGAATGTTTTGGCTCAAAAACGATCAATAATTGAACACAGTTTAACGGTAGGTAGACGTAGAGCTTTGCGTCATTTTGGTCACTTTTACCCTACAATTTTGCTCAAGGCAACAGATATCTATTTTATACATGATCCCTTGATTTCTATCTGAATAAACTTATCTTCCTCTCCGCTAAGTCCTACCTCCTTCAAAGCGCGACCATCTGCAGTTTGACTAGTGCCCGAAGAGCCTAAAATATTTTCGGATGGCTTGTTCTGCGGTCAGTTTTGTCTTATAGCAACCAAGGTCTGTGACCTGTTCAGAATTTATTTCCTGACGAATAAATAGATAAGCAGTGACAATCGAAAAACGACAAACTACAACGTGCTTAGTCTGATTCATACCAATGAATGAGTGCACGGGGTGAGCAGAATAAAAAAGAACAGTGTTTATAAAGTTGGATGAATGTTAGACCGAAAATTGCTATTGATGTCTCAAAAGAGAAAGGTGGTTGAAATGCAGGAAAGTGACTTACGCCCCTTCAAGGCAAATAATCGACTAATTTATCTGTTCCGAACAGGTAAGTTTCCCGTTACTCACGGTTGGCCTTAACTATCAATCCAATTGTTCTGTTCATTATATTTTTAAGTTCAGTATATTTATACTGGACAGATATACAATAAAATTATTCAGTATATTCAGTACTTCTGTTCTGCAGAGCCCTCCTTAAGTGACTTTACTGGCTTTTCAGTTAATTTTTCAACTTAATGGGTTTGAGGACCAACCTCTCAATTATTTGGTTTATGCCTTTTAACGGGGTGTAAAAGTTATCTAATTTGTCCGGTTGACTACTCTGTAGTCAAAAATTACAAAAAATCTATCACTGTGGTATGACTGGCTTTAAGTGGACACCCTGTACAGATGAAAGTTCCCGTTCCTCATTCCTGTTGCTTCGTTGCACGGAGGAGATAATGAGCTTAACAATATTTTATTTTAGCCTTTATTGATGCAAGCAGTTAAGAGATAAGACGGTTAACGTGTCAGATAGGTCCACCACAACCTACATCTTTAGATGAAGTTATAATGCACCCGAAAACTACAAATTCATCTGCAATCAAGAAGAACTAAAGCAAAAATCTAAAGGTTGTCAAATACAGTCGAGGTAGGGTTGACCCCAATGCCTTTTCTGAATCCTTTTCATTCGCTGTTACCCTTTTCTGCAGCCTCGAAATTTCGAGAAAGTAACAGCATAATAACAGAAGTGGTATAGAAAGCACTTATTGATAAAAAATAACGTGGTGAATACGGTTTTTTGTTCAACGATGTGGCGCGGAACGCACGCATACTTTATTGTGCCTAATAATTTGCACAGTTATCAGGATTCAAAATCCAACATGAGTTTCCAATAACGCTTAGAATTTTTATTCCCATTTATAAGGATTAGATAGAAAAATTATCGAGTTATGTAAAGTAGATAGAGTGGAAGACCTTCGTGTCGAAAAAGTTGCGATATGTTGAAAATGAAATCATCACGGACGATATTTGCACATAAAGTGTCTGGAGCACGAATGCTGAACCAAAGCAAACTAACGGATCTCAACCGATGTACAAATTTAGGATTGGATCACGTCTGACATAAGATAAGACATCATCCAGTCATTGATTTTCTTTATCACTATGGTAATCATGCATCACTTTCAAATCAGATGGGTTTGTCAAGTCAAAAGTGAGTTGAAGTTTTACCTCTCAACCTTGACTAGATATTCAACAAAGAGCCAGGTACAAGAGAAGCAAACTAGGATGAAGTGATCCCTCTCAAAAATCAAGCCACTTTTTCATCTTTGGTTCTTTTCAAATTATCCGAATAAATCAGAGTCGAAAACAACGACGGTCGGTGCTTCCATAAGCTTTGTCTTAAGCCCCTTAAAATGACCGTGATAGAAACCGTCAGTGTGCATTACCCCTCCGTGTGAAGATCTTAGAGCAGATAAGTCAGGGTTTTAACACTGATGAAAAGTAACCGTCTGTGTTTCAAACCGAACGGAATCATTTGAGTTTGTGGTTCAATGTCCCCCTGGTGGTGGACATTTACGGAATGGTAGAAACATCAAATTCAGTCGCACAGTTGTTTTTTTTTGCTACAGGTGGATCACCATGACTGGAAAGCAGATAACTCAACTACCCAAATACCTCCTAAAGGTCTTTCAGTGGTGTAAGCCGATTAATAACAAGTTTTCCATCCTGACACAGTACAGCTTTTTCATAATCTGTCAGCGTTGCTGCATGACACAGGCCATTCCTGTTTCATCACGTTCCCAATAATAGCTTCGTTATCATGCTTACCAACTATACACGCCGAATAATCCGAACGAATGAGGGAACGAGACACTTTGGGGCGACACACAAACAAACCTTTTCAACAACTGCATGCACCGAACCGGTGCAAAATTCCCCCCTCGTCCCATGTGGTTAATTCCCGTGTCAGCGAGCTTGAGCACACTGATCTGCGGTCCAGCTGGAGGTGGCTCAAGCTTACCACCTTTTCTACCACGTTTACCGCGCTTCTTCCCTGTAAAGGGCAAATAAAATTTAAAAAAAATTCAAGGACTATAACATATCCGCACTAAATGAATCTTTCAGAACTTACAAACTCAATGGCTTTGGGAAACGTGCCCAAACACAACTTAATTTTAAGTTAACGGGCATAAATTCGCTGTGGGTCTGTCGATACCGAGAATAAACGAACAATAATAAAGATATTGACTGCGCTGAAAATCCATCCACTGTGCCTCTAAATTCAATATATTTCAGAAACCGTGCTTCGGTTAAAGAGTGCTTAAATTCTACTCAGAAAACCAAAGTCTGTGGCTCTCCGCCCGCTTCTTTGTATATCCCGCAATTCTTGCTTCAAGGTAGGGTTATATTGGTTGGACGTAAAATGAGGACCAAAAGTTGAACAACTTTCTTGTATATAGATAAAGAGAAATTTCCAATTCCACTGCGGTCTTCATACCATGTGACCAACCTTATACGGAGGGGAAAAAATCTGACACATTTTGTCCTTTTTGGACAATCACAATACCAAGGAGGAATTTTTATCGCAGAAAATCTGAAAATGACTTATTACTTTAAAAATACACAATCCTCATCGAGAAAGCACCTACTTTGGCAAGCTAACTTGTTTTATTTAAAACGTATCTGACTACAACCCGTTGGAGGTAGTCTGGCAGTAAATTGAAAGTCTCATTTTGACTGGACCGTGACGTTTCGTCATACTGGGCTTGTTGTGAAGCACGCAAGAGAGGGTATCTGGATTTTGAGTAGAGTAACCCAGCATCGCTGCGTCCACTGGTATAACGAATATTGTGAGAGCCACCCCATTAGTTTACTGCCCGGACTGGTAGTGTCAATCTAGGGAGTAAAGACAAAACAGAGCTTAACACAGTCAATTTCTAATGGAGGTATCTTGGTGTAAGTGAAGCCAACCTACACTGGAAAGCTGAGGAATTCGGTACAGCTGTCCGTCATTCTCACGCCGCGTGGCAATCAAATAACGATTAATTCAGTGCATGGGATAACCTCGCTGCATACTCATGTCCTTTGGCTGCTGTCATCTGAGATACCAATCGTAAGAAAGAATCACCCTTAAGCAAATCATTAATCTGCGCGGAAATGCCAAGTGCTGTCCGTGAGTCATGCTTCTGGTTATTAACGAATATTTTTAATTAGTTGGCCAAACTTTGGCAATTCTGACGACTAGATACGCTGTTCTGTGCCGCTTACGAGCAATCAGCTATCAAAAGCGCTATCAACGCTTGTTACGATCCCGGCCTTTCTCCCTAAATACCTCGCATATTCGTGAAAGTAAGCCTCCACCTAAGTAGGAAATATCCAGTTAAAAATGCATCTGAACAAGTAACAGGGCAAGAACTAACATGCAAACAAGTTATAAACTCAAAGAACAAAAACATCAGAACCCTGAAAAAGAATGTGAAAATTGTTGTTGGCAGTGGTTTCGAAGCGGGATGTTGAAATAAAGACTTGGTAATAGGCGGGAAATCTGTGTTGCTGATAAGTCAGTCCTAGTGCAGTTGTTAGTTGAGGGTAATGAACTGCAATGAACTGGATCAGCAATGCCCCCGGAGTACACCAGGTCTCCGCTGGTTGCTTTGCTAGTCCTAAATATATTGCGCATATTGGGGTCTGACAAACTGTACGGAATTTCTCGGTATTTTTTGCAGAAAAGTGTTGTATGAAAGCTTTGACAATTCACATCCAAGCCTCGCACATCTTTCAAAATGATGACCAGTCCAAAAAAGGTCAGCCAATGAAAAGTAACAACCAATGGCATAACTGACTGCCTCCGTTTTAATCCGCTCTTGTAAAACGATATCAAAGTGAGAATGCTATCAGCGTCATCATTTTCCTTTTAAGTTGGTATATTTCACAATGTTGGAATTTCTGGCACGAATACCTCAAGGTGGCCAACAAGTGAATTGAAGAACAATTTCCATTTGGAGTAAAAAACACTCCTAGAATACCGTTTTCGGCGCTAAAAGAGGACGTTTTCAAGGCCCTCTTGTATGTATGAAAAATATGAGTTCATACGGGCTTAGTAGAGGATTGCATGTGAAGAAACGCAAAACTGCTCGTCCTTAAAGAAAAGCCAGTATAATCCGCGAAGTTCGCTTAGTCGAATTATGCAGTGAACAATTTCCCCACAAGTCTTTTTGGGGTGAGTGCCGAAATCTCACTGTAGTGTGTGTGCATCAGTTGGGGGTGTATGTTGTCGAATGTATAAATAATAGGTACTTTAAATGAAAAGCAATACCCACAGTTTGCTCCGAGAGCATCTGAAAGCAAAAACACCCTTTGATTAACTACACTGTTTGTGCAAAGGAAGCCTCCACTTTGTAGAACTCGGACTGTACTTTTATGTTTAGAAATGATTCTGGTTAAGATCTGTAGCCTTCAGATGACCATTTTGATATCACAAAAGAAAGACGGAGTTACCAAATTTCAAACGAATTTTCTATTACCTACTGAAACTTCCATTTCCACGCTTGAAAAACACCACAACGTTAAAATAAAAGAGACCAGGGCTAGTTAAAATTCTCGCTTAGCTGCTAGGAAAAACTAACAGTGAGAACGGAAATGAATGACAAAATCTATATTTCCTATTAAGGGGATTATTTTTTCTCTTTCAGGCGTTTCACTTGCAAACTTTACTGCATGTGTACCTGAATGTAGGCCCATTGGAAAATTTGCTTGACGTAATTAAAACGCTCCAATTTGTAGATTAAAAATTTAGTATGGCATGGTGAATAAACAAAAAGTAGGAAATATGAATGCAGGCTAGAATTTCAAGGCAAAGCCTGTGGGAATCGTAAAAATGTAACTTATTGTGACATAAAATAGAAACACCCCTGGAATAGCCTAACTATTGAACCGGAACTGGTTGAACCTTTACATCGCTTTAGGGCCTTTTGACGTAACAGGATATTCTCTAACTCGAGTTATACAGGAACCAACACTGGTCCTATACTTAGCTGATCTGAATGAACTGTGCTGAAAATCTGAACCTTTCTACTTTAGATGCGGGTAGAAAAAACAAGAAGCCTTTAGAGCGTTTTGCACAGTGTCAGTGGCCAGACAATAAAACGGGGGTGGACAACGAACGCCTTGACTTGTTTTCACCATGCCAAGATAATCGAACCCATGATTACTTTCGATGGCTTGACATCGCACGTTGAAAACTATATCGCTGAGAACGCATCCATTCTGCATCTTATCATTCATTTCTTTGGAGTTCAGAGACTGATTGTTGGTAATTCTATGGATAAAATAAACACTATTTTTACAAATGTTGTCAGTAACTCACGCGATTTTATCTCTGCCTTCCCCGATTCTGGTTTCGCTATTGGCTTACCCAACGATGGGGCTGGACTAGAAGGTTTATCGGTCTCGCCTGCATTGGCATTTTGCTCAAATCCGGACAGGTCCATATCTAAGATTGGTCGAGCTGAGTGGGGGTACAAATATGACACATAGGATGGTGTACTCGCATGAACAATACACTGAAGACTTGCTTAGGAATTAGGGAAGTTTTTGTGCACTACGCATCAGCATTGTGGGAAGTGAACGTAAAACCGATGAACTCAAGATAAGCTACAACGAATTAACTGGAAGATGGACTCTAGTGTTAGGGGTCACAAGCCCAGGGCGAAAATGCAAGAAGCTCCGATGCGACCACAAGGGAGGAAGTTGAAAAGATGTGCAAATAAATTTGATGGAGTAATTTTTGAACTAAATACATTGGAATATTTTAGATTGCCTTAGTAATATGACTTGACAAGAGCACTGATTGAGGGGGCTTGTTGGGCATAATAGCTCGGTTTCCCTAGACAATCTTTGGCGCACTCTATCTGCGGTCTGTGTTGCGCTTACAGTCATATTTAACACATCCTAAGCCATTATTATTGAGACTGTACTCATTGTTTAAAATTGCCGGAAATCAGTTTGACTGGCTTACCTGACGGACTGACAGAAATAAATCCTTGTGAAACTGTTTGCTGAGACAAATCTAAACTCAAAAGGTGGGTTTCTTACAAGAACATTTTAGTTAGGAGTAGATCTACAGAGGGTACACAAGAGTGAAACCTTCAATTTGAAAATACGTTTTCAGTGAGAGATTACTATTTTAGGATGCCTTATTGGACAACAATTATTTGGTAGAGCTCAAAGTCACATGATGCATTAGAATGTGAAAAATCACTGTGCGTAGAGTCTATGATTACATAGAGGGATGTGTTAAGGTTAGCCAGAACACTCTGTCGAAAATAAAAATTAACTGAGGAATTCGATACATAATTGAGTATGCTTTTGTCGGGTTACTGAGATATTTAGGAAGAATAAGTCAAACGATGACCATAATTTTCTTCATTGAAAAGTAAGCCGTTGCATCTAAGTGGATGGCGGAGGCCAAAGGTCATCACAACATCAACTTCGAATGAAATGCTTTCCCCCCACCCCACCCCAACGGAATCTTTAGGCGCGAGTCATTAAAAAGAGGCTGGATGAAGAATTTGGGAGTGACTTCTGGTGGAAGAATGTTCTGAACAACTGAAGTTGAGAGGTGGTATATATATGGAATTGAAATAGTGATACTGATAGTAAGTATATTTTATGGAAGTACAATAATGACAAGGAAATGGAGCCAATCATACTAACTAACTTGAAAATAGGAGACAAAAGAAATCCCACACGTTGTTGACAGTCAGTCAGGAGAATGGACTTCGTTAAATCCACAATTCTGTTATCCTGATTTATAAATAGTGCAGTGCGCCAGCACAGATTGCATGAGATGAATTTGGATATCCAGTTCTTCGAAAAAAATAGGTTTCTGTGATAAACTTAATATGAACCCGCGCTACACTGTTTTCTCAAGGGAGCCACCTATATACATTTCAGATTGTTGAATCGCCTTTGGTAAAACATTGTCCTGATTCTAATTAAGTACAATCGGAAACAGTCTTTTCATGGAAATGACGAAGGTAAGCCACTCTTATTTAATATCGAGTATCACCTTTCGAGTTGGCGAACCGCTACAAACAATTGAACCTGAAATCTCATGGACGACTTCTAGTTTTTGACTGCTGCCGCACCATTTCCAAGGTAACTGCACTTAGATGAAAACTAACTGTCTGAGATCATGTTTCTTTCTTTTGCATGAAAATAAAATGCAAGTGACCATAAAGTTGATGACCTTATGAGTAAATTTGGAATTTTTCAATGGAGTTTTCATGAAGTTAGTCTGTGTTGAGAAGCCAAGAGACAGTGTACGACTGTTTTGCCGTTACTTAGAAGTGAGGTACGCATTCCACGAATCTCAAATGGTGTCCAACCCCGCAATATCTTGGCTAGTAGTTTGAAAACAGCGTGTCTGACTGATCATTAGTGTGATGTGGAGCCACTTCTCCTTCTATCATGAAATCTAAATCATATGGTAAATTATTGATTGGTTTCTTGTGTAAAGACCTATAGGGTCATTTGTGAATTACTCTTCGCTGCGTTTTTTTGAGCCAGTTTGAAATTTAGATGCCTCGGTCGTGCGTTCATCTGGGTAACACTTTTCTCACGGCTTACTGTGGCACTTTGAGGTCAGTAACCACATTTGCGCGGAAGTCGAATGTGAATAGAAGTGACTTCTCAGCTAATTCATTGCCATGACATGTGTCAGGAAATCGGTTTGCTTGAGAGTCCTCGAATGTTAGTTTCACTATCTCAGTGAAGGGTCGGATGAGAAAAATACCAACGAGACCTGAATTTAAAAAATATAGTAAGAAAAGAAGCCACTGGTTGGTTTTAAAATGCAATCCAGTGTACTTTCATCCACATTATGGCTCACAATTTGGAAGTAGTGGGGTATAAATAGACCAAAACACTACTTGAGCTGTACTGTCACCTCGTAACAGCCACACAAGTTACAAAAACTCTCAACAAATAACAACTGTTCGGTCGTTCCATATCTCTCTACTGATTTTGTCACTCAGCGCGAAACGCGTGACAAAAAATCTTTTAAACCTGAATAAATCAGATTCAAGTTCACGCACTCCACAGTTGTCACATTTTCCACATTGCTAGTTTGCTTTGGATAGTGTCACTTGGGTATGCCTAAAAATACGTTCCCTGACAAATTTTCTTGTGTGAATCGAATCAGAGTTTATGTTTTGCAACTCATTCCAAAGGAAAAAATACTCGACTGTTTTGAAATCTTCCTGAATGTGCTGTTACAAAAAAGGCAGCCGAACTGTCGCCAGAATTTATTAACGGTTGTAAAAAACCTGAGTTGGAAGCATGTGGAAGGAAGCTTTTATGAACCTGTACGAACCCTGATTGTCAGAGGACTTGGTATATTGGAGAAATTCCTCCTTCAAGTACTTGAAGTTAACTGCTTTCAAGAATTAGCCCCTTACTGGATATATACCAGTTTAATCCCCCTACAACCTTAATTTGAGTACATAACATTTAAAAGCAACAATGGCCCCAAGACTTTACACTCTACACCTTGAAAGATAAAGTTTGGATGGCTTCAAGAATTAATGATTCTGCATTTAACGTGCGTCTGTTTACGAGGCTATGCTTTGTGAACGACCAGATGGCGAAAAGGTTCAACTAAATACCTTATGAGTACACAAATTTGAAGGACACACTTGGCATGCCTGGCACATTCTGATTTTATGGATATGTACATTTGTTCACATGAAGACCTATTTACGTTAGCTGTCACCAAAGGCGCTCATTGTATCGCTAGTCTACCTAAATGCTGTTCGTTACCGGTTTATTCACTGACACTAGGGCATAAAAGCTGGACATAACAGAGCTTCCATATTGCGGTTGCTACAATTTCCAGTCTGAAATGAGCATGCGCTATTTGATTGAGAAAGTGCATATTATTTCACATAAAAGGTACTACTTTAGACGTAGGTAACTGTCCAGCTTACTTGCACGTCTTGCATCCTCGATTGCTTTCAGTCTTCGTTTCTCTTCTTCAGCACGTTCGAAACCCTCGTTTTCCGCCGCTTCGGCAAGTTGGCTCAGAAGCGCAATCACTCCTTCAGCTTCCAGGGGGTTTCCATCTAGAACCAGTTCTCTGCGCAGCAGAATAATAGAACAGTTAACCGCTGATTGTAGCATATTTGTCATATATATATATATATATATATATATGTACATATGTTATATGTATATATGACACACTTATGCGAATGAACGTTACCACCACCGGTTCGGCGTTTGTTATAACCCGACTGGAAAAAAGTCATATCCCATGCAGGATAATGCGATGTTGGAGAGTTAGGAGTTCTACAATATGAATCCGTAGACGGATGCCTCACACTACTGGAAAGTATCCGGTCTGCAGATAGTGAAGTATGATACCAATATAAAACCCACTTTGTGGAAAGAGGATAGTTCCCTACTCTGGGAGGTGGATTATCTTCGCGAAGATGTCTGTCTAGATCGTTGGTGTCATGGAAAGTTATTTTCATCGCTCCAGGCAATTTAGGACACTTACTTCGAGTTCAGGTGAATTACTAACCACTCGTAGTCGGGGCGAGAAAAGAAGTCACCCGTAAAAGAGTCAACGGTGACACTGTATTACGATCAGGTCCAAATATCAGAAGCAGTGTTGGGTAAACGGATGGCTGTGTTTTGCAAACTGCCTGTGGTTCGATGGCTGCAAAAAATAAGCTTCCCTTATCTACTGTCTTATTTGAATAATTACACTTTTGAGTTTCGTGAAACAGGCATGGTTAGTCCGTACAATAGCCCGCATCGCTACCCCATTGGAGTTGAGGAGTTCGAAATATGGATAGAGGTGCTGCTACCTCAAACCCCAAGACTAGGATAGTTTTCTTCACAAGGGATACACTTTGGTGCCCAAACGGTTAGCAGGTTACCTGGAACAGGTTACTTCTGTCCAATTAACTGAAGCTGTTCCGTCTGCAACAACGCGCCCTCAACAGACTGGATGGTAAGAATCTTAACTTATCTAAATGTTATAACCTACCCACCGACCTATAGCGTGGAATATTGACGTGCTTCTACGGTGGTGTGTAAAGATGAACAGGTTGAGGGTCGCCATAGAAACCTGTTATCCAGCAGGGCAGCATTAAATATGCAAAGGCTGTTGGTGTGCATTTGAAAAAATTCCGGTGGGGATATTGGGTTTGTCTGACACTTGCTCTAGAGAATGTTTATCCTCCTAAGGAAACAGTTCACAATAAAACAGTGATCTCACACTGCAGTTGATTGGCTTTTTTAGTCGTCGTCCAATTCCACGACATTCATTTCGGCAGAGTAACTTTGCTTGAGGATAACCTATTTTTGGGATAGAGGTGTTGAAAATGAGAAGATATTCATTATGTTTATCTGTAGGACACATTTTTACATTTCGGAAACAGGGAAGCAATATAACAAGCTCGAGATTGTGCAGTGACACTATCTGACAACAGCTGTTGAGCCAGTAACGTCTTATACAATGTAACATGATTGGGCGGACTGTGTACACCAATTCGCCATCATCAAGCTATGGGCTTTGCTTGCAAAGTATTGCCTCTTATCTGGTGAATGCAGCCAAAGCATCTCAGATGGTAAGGGCGGAAGGTTTGTATGAGCTGTGAGACTGGAGGAACACATATAGTTTCTAAGTATTGCATGAATACCTGATCGCAGTTTCACAAACCAAATTTCCAAGCCACAGTCCACATTGTTTCGTCAATCCACAGTAGCTCAAACTCAAATGAGTCAGGAATTTGCCTCTGGACAGTCCAGTACACAGAATCCGGCAACCTTTCTCACCCAACCTACGAAAAGAAAAGAACAATAATTTGCAGCTTTGCAAAATGACAACTTCTTACTCGTTAAAGTCTAAGGCCAGCTCCTTCAGGGTCTTTGACACAGCCACCGCAGTCACAATGTTGCCAACACTCTTGGAATCCAGAAAGCAATCAATCAGCTCCAGACGTGAGACTGGATAACAACCCCGGGTTAGCAGTCCTGCCTATAGAACAATTCGCTAAGTGTGTCAGTCACTGGAACAAAAGCACAAAACGATTCACGTACTATAGAGAGTGCATCGTCATTTTCCACATGACAATCCCAAACCAATAGTTCTTGAATGTGTGTATAGCGTCGCGCTCGGATGGCATCAATCAGCGGAAGAATCTTGACCAGTGGTTTATCCTCTTTGACATGCTTGATTTTGGCCCTTCTGCGTCTACCTTCATCAGCATCGCCCTGAAGGGCTTTGACCAATTTTTCATCATCCCAGTATTCAACAACACGTCTGTCTTGGGGATCAACCACAAACTGCGAACAAAATTTTGGTTAGTCTGATAAGCTCAAAAATTAGATAATTACCCTTGTCACCAGCCGATCATCATCCAACGCCTTCTTAAACTGCTTTCGAATGGAATTGGCTACCGTAGTCTCGTACTTTTCCGCTCGAATTTCATAGTCACGCATTAGTTCTTTAAGAGACCGAACGATTGCGGACTCAGAGACCTTCTTCAGGCCGACTGCCGCCTGCTGTTTTGGTGGCATGCTGAAATTGGCGTGCAAGATTTTGATTAGATTACCAAAGTAAACAGAAGAAGAACACAATTTTCTATTACAAGTCGTCAATTTTTGCAAGGCCATCCGCTCTTCTCTCTTAAGCTCAGCTTCTATCAATCAAACTTTACATGCGTGTCAGTGGATTTGTGATCAGTTTGGATATGTTGCGCTCAAAACTCCCATAACTCTTCTGTGTGCCAAAAAATATGTAAAACGCTACATTTTTGGCGTGATCTACTATCCTCCTATCAGTGATACGGGAGGGTCACGGCAGCTAATTGTTTACTTTCGAGTTGCACTCACTTTTGAGTCAACTGAAGGTATCACGGTAATCATGATTATAGTTTGTTCATGTAAGAGAGCAGCAGATAATTTTGAACAACCCTTATCCAACCCAACTTGATGGTAGACAATCAGATTGAGCCAGTTTTGAAAAATAAACCGGGATTCGAGTGCATAACATGCCAAAGTAAAAGGAATAGACTGAGGACTAGACAGCAGGTTTTTGAGCGCGATGCGTACAAAACAAAGAAAACATCATAGATTGTCTCATTAACAGAAAACGTGAGTTTTTTATGCTTTACGCACTTTTCTGGATAGATATCACGTCGAATACAAGATACTTTAATGTCACTGTCCCTCCAGCAATTACAGGACGCATACTAGTACGAAATATCTCAGTTGGAATACCAAACCACTTTTATTCTTACTCGCAAACATCAAAGCTGTGCCCGCAGGACAAAGGACTAACAGACCACACGTACGGCCAACTTACAGATTAAATTTTAAGCTCCTAAAGTTATTCAGATACAAATAAGCTTACTGTCAAACTCTTAGGAAATGGACATTTTACTTTGCGGGGTGGTTTTAACATGTAACACCGAAATTGTACTCTCTTCTCAGCTCTTCTGGAAATTCAATGGCACAGTTTCACATACGTTAAAAGCGGTAATGCGATTCAAAAGCGGTTATAAATTTTTTTAGGACAAGTGAGTGTTTATAGTCGTTCGAAATGCAGTAAAAAAAGTCTAAGCTTTCATTATTGCAAAGACTACGCACTGATCCGATACGCTTAACACAAATTCCTCGAATGGGTACGAATCACGTTATAAAAAATATATTCGGAAACTTGCTAGACACCCTTATGTAAATTTAGAGTGAAAGGCGCAACAAAGAACAGGAAACTTTGCAGTTTTTTTATGTCATTCCACATTCATGTAGAATCCGTAAGGAGAATTTATGCGCACCGGTACGACAATGACGGGTAATCGGGGAATCTAAGTGAATAAGGTGAGTAAACTGAAGTAGAGTGAAGTGAGTAAACAGAAACGCTGCAGAATTTCGAATGTCTACTGGCAATTAGTACGACATCAACGGAAGCCACATCTAGGCATGTGAATTAATAGCATTTCGTTCACAACGATCATATATTTAAAATTTCCAAAACGAAAACTCCAAACAGATGCAGAAGTTTGGTCATCAAGTCAAGGTAGTTGGGACATTTAGCACTTGTGCCCAATCGCCGTAGTATTTCAGTGCTCGTACCTCCTTTCGTTGACGAGATGAATAATTTACTGACCAGAATGACCTTGCTTGAACTAGACCTCTCATCCCAAATTTCGCTGTCTAGGCTTGGGCAACCTAGCAGTATCCCAGCTCTCGCGCTTCAATTGGGTGACATGGCAGCTATGAATCAGGAGGATGTTGCAACTGAACGACTTCGATTTCGATACTGGCTTCTTGCTAGCTTGTCAGCGTACGTTGAGTACAGATTAAACTGGTACAGCGGTTACAAACTTTCAAAATCCATCACCCAGTGCTGAGGAAGTTATAAGACCGTGTGCTCTGAGTATTGTGATACTAACTACGATAAAACGCGCAATAAAGGTCCTCTGGTATTTTCTCGCTAATTGTTCTTCCAGCTTGGTAGGTGCTTCTAGGCAGTGCTGAGATAGAGGGCTTTTATAGATGAGAGTAACGGTTAGACGTTTGAGAAATCCTAAATTAGTGGTTAATGATTTTGGAAGAACCCAGGTGTACCTAGGTGATCAAATTTGCATAAAAATAACCTGAATACGTGCGTACAACAAACAATAGAAACAATAAAAACGTAGGCATAGTGCCGATTGACCACTCTTGACCAAAATGTCAAGTTACCTGCTCCTCCAAGTGCTAGCAATCCGCTAATGGCGTTTGTGTGCCGATATGGAGGTGCTGGTAACTCTTCTGGTTGGCTCTGAAGGGCAATGGGCTCCTAAGCCGCAACGTAACACAGTTCACAAAACTTTGGTTCAAACCGCTGTTTGTATGCCACTAAAAGTGGGTGTGGGTGGAGTCTCAATAAATAAAGACAATATTAGCAAAAGACTATAGCTTGCAGTTTGAATGGCTGGTTGGTCTTTAGCCTTTTTTAACGTTGTTATAAGCTGGAGTGTCCTGCAGGACGGCAGACTGCCTTTTAAGCATTTGGTAAGTGAACCACTTGTGTTATTTCCTCACGCATCCTCCCGCCTGCCACTGATTACGGCTAAGGACAATGAATAGGTCGCTGTGCGGTTGGTTATGGCGGCCGTACCCAGACTATTCGCTCTCCTTAGCGCTTCGTCAAGTAGTTGCTTGTCCGTTTCGGTTAGAAAAAGTAATATTAAACTGAAGATTTGACGTACATTCTGGAACATACAGTCAAACATAGGTCGGCATTAGACGTTCCATGAATTTGAAAGTCAACCAAAAAGGGTCTTTTTTAAAAGGTTAAATCGCCCTATTAAACTAGATAGATCATATATAACCACGCTTCACGGATATCCCAGGATATTTCGCGTGAGGAAATTATTGAATTGCGATCCGTGATGTTACTGCGTAGTTACCTAAAAGATCTAAGAATGCCATGATTTTTTACGCAAATTGTGTGATTGGAGTGATCCTTGATTTGTGCTTCTTGACTTTGTATGAAGCACAGTGCACCTCGTTTCGTGTTTTCTATTCCTATGATCGGTTAGTGATTCCAGACGATTATTGAATTGCGATCCGTGATGTTACTGCGTAGTTACCTAAAAGATCTAAGAATGCCATGATTTTTTACGCAAATTGTGTGATTGGAGTGATCCTTGATTTGTGCTTCTTGACTTTGTATGAAGCACAGTGCACCTCGTTTCGTGTTTTCTATTCCTATGATCGGTTAGTGCATTCCAGACGCTGCGACTCAGCAATTTTTTGATAGCAACTGATACAGACTGCTGATAAGGCAGGCGCTTAAATCTACCATAGGCGTAGGACTTGATTTTCTGTCCTGAACGCTTGTTTCAGTTTGCTTTTGTGAGCCTCGAAAGTCCATCAGTATTAGGTAGTTCACTCGTCCGCTCTTCTTAGGACGTGCATTCAGCCCTTCTTGTGTGTTACATGTTCTAATGGCAACAAGTGCATAAGCTCTTGGTATCGCTTCTTGCTTTGCCACCTGAAACACTTAAATTAAGTCTCCTCCGCTTGCCCCGCATTCTAGCGTGAAGAAGTCCAGGTTAAGCATCTTTGCTGGCGTGAGTGCCCAATCACTTAGAGACAGTTTGTATTTCCTGCTGCTCAACCTTTTCAAAGCTCTCTGTCTAACTTTTTGTATGCGTAACGTGCAAGTTGCTAACAAACGACTATTGTTTGAATGCAAGTAGAGTTCTGAGTCCCAAAAACCTTTAGGCTTCCCGACTGAAAAAGTTTTGCTGAGCATCCAGAGAGCCAACATGGTTTTTCTAAAGCATCCGGTTGTTGGAAAGACACAAACTCTCATTATTGTCTCTGCAAGTTTTAGACAACTGTCTTACACTTACACCACAACAAGGCTCCTCATCAACGTCTACACAGCTATGTTAAACCCAACTATCCGAGTTGACCATCTTGAACGCTCGTACCCTAAACATCTGTTGGCTTTGAAACAATCGCATTCATTTGAGACAGAAAGGCTGAAGTTTTCTATAACTTCAACCACGAGGTTTCTTCTGGGCCAGATGAATTCACCTAACAGCCCTCAAACTTGCTGTGTCTACTGTACAAACGTCCATTTTCCCGCTCGTGCCCTAGAACCTTTGCAGTGCTCAAGCTGCATGCAACGATGATAATCTTCTCATCATAACTATGTACTATCCAATCAGTATTACACGAAGCTCATAAAAATCGTAAACAGATTCCTACTTGATTGTTTTTTGAGCAGCAAACTCCTCCATCCAGCTCATCAGTGTTCCCTCTTTTCATTTTTTGTCCTTCCTTCTTTTCTTTCTTCCTTTTTTCTGTTTGAAAACTTATTAGTCCCTCCAGTGTCATCATGTTTTTACACATCCAAAGAAGTCCCAATGTGATTAGTTTCGGTCACACTATTTCCAGCTTTTAGCACTTTTCTTAGTACTTTCTCGTTACTTGGTTGTGAGACACTGTGTTACGCTGATGACCTTAATATATGGTGCGCGTATTCCCTTAATCTACAGTAGACGGCAGATGTCTAGGCCTCCTGGGTTGAAACCACTCTGTTGGATATAAACCCCAAGAAATCTGTGCAGAAAATTTACCATCCATTTTTTTAATAAAACGCAGGAAAGGACGCCCCCTGTATTCCAATGACTACCAATTACACCGAAAGTTCGGATTATCTTCAATTTTATTTCCATTGCTGCAATTACCTAGAAGAGCATCCAGACCTGTCAGTACCTACCATTCTGTATCATTTTTTTGTTCACCCTTTAATGGTATATCTCAACTTGTTTTGATGTTCTGGTTAAGACTTGGAATAAATGCTCTTACAAATCATGCCGCTGAGCTGTGGACGATGTCCTACAATAGATAACTCCTTCATCTAAAACCATTTCCTTTAAAATTTTAAAGCTGTTGAGTTAGTGTCCTAAACGCCTAGGGTTTTCTAAACACCAAAAAATGACTAAGTTTTCACTCTTTTCATGTCCTCTATCTCTCAGTTCAACGGCTCAAAAGGTTTTATAGCAGGTACTT